TAACCTAAACGCCGTCCACTACCATCTCGAGACGGCGAGGCCGGCTCTGCTCTTTCTGACCGAGACGCGGGTGTCCTCTCCGGCTGATGTCTCGTATCTCTCCTACCCGGGGTACAAACTGGAACACTCCTTTGTGGCTCGGGCTGGAGTTTGCGTTTACGTAAGAGAGGACATCTGTTCTCGACGCCTCGGCAGACTTGAAGGTTCGGACCTGTCCATCCTTTGGCTACGCGTAGACAGCGACGACCATCCGCGCGTCTACGGGTGCCCCTATAGGTCCCATAGCGGTAATGCCGAAACAGACCGACTCTTCGACCACGTCCAAATGGCTACAGATTCGTTGCTACAGCAGATCCCCTCCGCAGAGATCGTGATCCTCGGCGACGCCCATCACGCCGAATGGCTTGGTTCACGTTTAACCGATCATGCGGGGGAGATCTGTTCATGATTTTGCCTTGGCATATGGTCTGACTCAACTGGTTACTTCGCCTACGCGGATTCCAGATGTGGAGGATCATGCACCTTCCCTGTTGGACCTTCTGTTGACCTCTCACCCGGACGGATATCAGATTTCCGTCGACACCCCTTTAGGCTCCTCGGACCATTGTCTTGGTCGGAGTGTGGTGCCACTCACGCTGAAATCGCAGTTGCATTCTACAGGCTGCCGCCGTGTTTGACACTTAAGGGTCAGCTGATTGGGATGGGATGCGGTCTTTCTTTTCATCCTAACCTTAGGGGCGGGTTTGCTTCTCGCCGGACGATCCCAACGTTGTTACGGATTCTGTCGCTGATGTGGTGCTTCAGGGTATGGCACTTTTTGTTCCTTCCTCTGTGGTGCCCATTGGAGGCAAATCTCAGCCATGGTTTGGTCGCTCCTGTAAAATAGCATCATGGTATAAGCAGGAGTGCTACCAAGCCTGGGCTGACGCATCAGCGTCCCGGGATGTAAACACCAGCGCTCTAAAAAAGAAGTATAATTCCGCCTCTAGGTCCTTCAAAAGTCATTGCCAAGGCAAAGTCAGAGCACATAGGCAAAATTGGCGAGAAACTAGTTCGCCTTCCTTCTGGAACCCGCGCATTCTGGTCTCTCGCCAAGGCTGTCCAGGGGAATTTCTGTCAGCCATCTCTTCCATCTCTGTACAGGGAGGACGACTCACTGGCCCATACCTCAAAGGAGAAAGCCGATCTTCTAGGCTCTTTCTTTGCGTCCAACTCGACCCTCGATGACGGGGGGAGTACGCCACCGACCATCCCGCGGTGTGAGTGCTCCATGCCGAAAGTGCAGTTCACACAGCGCTCGGTTCGCAAAGCACTCCTCTCCCTAGACATCCACAAGTCGAGTGGGCCTGACGAAATCCCCCCAATGGTGCTGAGGACGTGTGCTCCAGAGTTGGCGCCGGTTTTAACGCGTCTTTTCCGGTACTCCTACTCCCTAGGCGTAGTCCCAAAATCATGGAAGACGCGTCCACCCGATCCCTAAAAAGCCCGCTCAGACCCGTCCAACTACCGGCCTATCGCCAACACCTCCTTGTTCTCCAAAACAATGGAGTCCATTGTAAACTGCCAGCTCATGAGGTACCTTGAGGATCACCAGCTGATTAGTGACCGCCAATACGGTTTTCGCCGTGGTCGGTCAGCTGGTGATCTTCTGGTCTATCTAACTCACAGATGGGCGGAGGCAGTAGAGTCCAAGGGGGAGGCATTGGCCGTTAGTTTGGACATTGCGAAGGCCTTCGATCGGGTTTGGCACAAAGCGCTTCTTTCGAAGCTCCCTTCCTATGGGCTACCCGAGAAATTGTGCGATTGGGTCACCAGCTTTCTTGCAGATCGGGGCATCAAGGTCGTTGTAGACGGTGCAAGCTCCGATTGCAAGCCTATTAAAGCTGGTGTTCCACAAGGCTGCGTGCTCGCACCTAAAATAAACGCTATTTTGCTACAGTACAGCACTGGTGATGCTCTTTACACCGGCCGAGCCAATATTTCTCGGGAAAACGTCTCCGAGTGCCGGGAGGGCAAACTTTTGTCTGAAGTCGAGTCTTTGCTGAAAAGAGTCTCGGATTGGGGGCGACTAAATCTAGTCCAGTTTAACACCCAGAAGACACAAGTTTGCGCGTTAACCGCTAAAAAAAACCCTTTGTTGTATCTCCTCAGTTTCAAGGCACTCCCCTTGTTGCCTCAGCCAGTATCGGAATCCTCGGCGTCGACATATCGAGTGACGTGCAGTTTCGTGGTCACTTGGAAGAGAAGGCCAAATTGGCCTCTAAAAAGCTTGGCGTGCTCAGCAGAGCGGGACAGTATTTCATGCCGGCACACCGCCTGCAACTTTACAAGGCGCAGGTTCGGCCGCACATGGAATACTGTTCCCATCTCTGGGCTGGGGCTCCCCCAGTACCAGCTCCTTCCACTTGACCGCATACAGCGCAGAGCGGCTCGAATCGTCGACGACCGAGTGGTTTCCGATCGGCTCGATTCACTGGCACTGCGAAGAGATGTTGCATCTCTTTGCATTTTCTTTCGCATATACCATGGAGAGTGCTCTGAGGAATTGTTCGGATTAATCCCAGCCGCCAAATTTCGTGAACGCACTACGCGGCAAACGTCCCGATATCATCCACACCATCTGGATGCTTGGCGGTCCACTAATGTACGTTTCAAGAGGAGTTTTCTTCCGCGTACAACCTCTCTGTGGAATAGTTTACCACCAGCAATTTTTCCGGACCGATACGACCTGGGGACCTTCAAGAAAAGAGCTTACTCCTTTCTAAAGGGCCGGCAACGCACCTGCAATTCCCCTGGTGTTGCGGTTGATCATGGGCGGCGGTAGTCACTTAACATCAGGTGAGGCGCATGCTCGTTTGCCCCCTCTTCTATAAAAAAATATTCATAAAGGTTCTGATCAAGCCACATTTTCGTAAATAATAACGATGAAGTAGAAAAATATTTAAATGGTCGCTATGGAAGTTCCTCGGAAGCACTCTGGAGAATTTTCCAATTTCCGATTCATGAACGTTTTCCGGCAATAGTTCATTTAGCAGTTCATTTAGAAAATGGACAAAGAGTTTATTTTTATAATAATGAAAATCTTCAGAGATCGCGTCAACAATCCTTCATCAACGAAACTCACAGCGTTCTTTGATCTTTGCAAAAGAGACGATTTTGCCAAAACCCTTTTATATCACGAAGTACCCCAGTATTACGTATGGGAAAGAAATTCATTTTCTAGAAGAAGACGTGGACAAGATGTTGAAGGATATCCCGGTATAAAAAAGACTCAACTTTAGGTCGTGTCTACAACATTCATCCGACATAAACTGAATGTTACTATTTAAGAATGTTACAGCATCATGTTCGCGGGCCAATGTCATTTGAACATCTAAGGACAGTAAATGGTGTTACTTTCAATACTTATCAAGGAGCTTGCAAGGAATTAGGTTTACTGGAGGGAGATGAACATTGGCAAAATACTATGTCAGATACTGTCATGTCCGAGCCGGCTCCAAAATTAAGAGAATTATTTACCATAATCCTCATATTTTGCCAACCATCTGACCCCTTGCAGCTATGGAACAAATTTCGGGAAGATTTGTGTCAAGATATATTATACAGAATGCGTAATGAGACCCAGGATATGACATTAGCATATAGTGATGACATATACAATGATGGACTTATCATAATTGAAGATAAGATTAATGAGATTTACGATAAATCATTAACTGATTTTGGGCTTCCTGCAACAAAAAGGAATAACACACACCATAATTTGGATCCTTTAGAAATAGCGTTGCGGAAGCCATACGTTGTAAATGAATTAAATGAGTATATTACTGTAAATGACCCCAAGTTAGTTAATGACCAGGTGATGGCATACAATAGTGTTATGCACAGTGTTCGTTTCAATGAGGGAAAAATATTTTTTTGGATGCTCCAGGCGGAACCGGCAAAACTTTCATTACTAATTTGATATTAGCAAAAGTAAGGTCTCAGGGAAAACTAGCTTTGGCAGTAGCGTCATCAGGAATCGCTGCAACTTTATTAGCTGGTGGAAGCACAGCTCATTCCACTTTTAAACTGCCTCTAACCGTTTCCGAATATTAGAAACTAAAATAAAGAAATATAGATGTGTCAAACATATAAATCAAAAATCTAAAATGTGTCAATTCACATTAATAAAAATAACACAATATTATACAAAATATGTAACATTTTTGTAACAATGGTGTCCCATAGCCACTTAAACGTAATATTTTTATCTTAATATTAAAATCCTACTTTTTATGGCTAATACATAATGCACATTATATTTTTAGGAAATAGGGATGATAGTCACTTAAAGTGAAACTAACGAAATATTGCTACTATTTATATCGATATATATTTGGGTGCGTGAAATGTGACCAAAAGTATGGCGGGGCGAACGATCAAGTGACTGTATTAGCGTGATTCAAAAGGAACAAGAACAAAATGGCGGACATGGCACGTGTGGTGTTGGCTGACACTACGGGAGAAGAGCTGCAGCGGATAAAGGAACAACAAATAAAACAGCTCATAATAAGGATGGGCACTTACCTGGGGGATCAGGCGAGGGGCCTATCTCTTGACGGCTGTGTGGGTACGACGAAAATTGTATTGCATTGCGACTACGATGGCGGCGCGCGTCTTCTTATAGCTTCCACCATCGCCTCTTTCTACTTGGCGGAACGCGCCTCTCATTGGAGGACCAAAGATGCGTCCACCAGTATCTAGCTTCCCCTTACTAGGCAGGCCCGTGCGGGGAAGGAACGGAAGAGAGGGGAATTATGCCAACCCAACTAACGAATACATCAACAAATACGAAACGCAAGGGTGTGCATTGGCGCAACCAATATTGTCACCAAAAAAGATATATATATATATATATATATATATATATATATATATATATAACCATATGTCAGTGCAGGAGAGGGATATAAGATCCAAACTCGCTTATATCAATTATACAACAAACTAACTATTACCTATGTCCTGGCTGCGGTAACATCGCATATCGGTCTTCTATGGTTTTCAAAAGGGCAATAAACCAGTCGGCACTGCGCGGAACCCATAACACGGAACCAACGGCAACACTAACTCCCGCCGCAACTGGTTCGCTCCACTGCTCGTTGCCCAAAGCCTCATCCATCTTAGACAGTGCATCTGCGTAACATCAATGTACGTGAGGGCCTGGTATTGGAGTAGAGTTTGTAAAATAACTAGTAGATAAATTGTTATTAGAGCTAAGCTGCATCTGCTTATACAGCTCAAATGGATTTGTTTGACCGATGACTCTCTCACAGAATACCAGCGTAAAATAACAGCATGATGCTGCTATGGTGCGGATATTCCATCTTAGCCTTCAAGGTTGTAACCGCACCAGATCGTATAACTCCTTTTCTGCTTCCATTCGGGTAGGTACCACGCTCTTGACTATTTCTGCTGTCAAATATAAGTGGGAATCAAAAAGTTCATGAAAGGAGGGGTTAGAAAGGGAAGGGGGGATTTCTTTCTAACTATCACTACTTGATGATTCGCTACAACTACAAGATATTTAATACTAATTAAGTACGGGTTAAAAAAGTTCGCGGAATGGAGGAGTTAGAGGGGAGGGGGCATTTTTTCTAACTATCACTACTTGGTGACTCTCTACAAATACAAATACCAAGTACTAAAGGATACCCGGCGTGTGCTACTACGCTAAAAAAAGAATACATTTTTTAATGGTGGAAAAAATAAAATTTTATTTATTTATTAACTTTTTTATAAAGTGCTAAATGCATTGTTTTATTGGTCTAAAACCATATTTTTGAAGGTACCTACGAATAAGTTATTTCAACGGTCTGTGAAGTATATCAGGGTTAATGGAGAAAATATCGAAAAGAAAATTTTTTTTTTATAGAATAAGGGTGACAAACACAGTTCACCTGATGATATGTGGATGTTGTGGCCAATAGACATCTAAATTTATCCTCGATTAACAATGAAAACGCAAATGCGTTGTCACCCCTGAGGCCTAAAATGGAATGCCTCGTTGACAGTAAAAAAAGGGTCTCCGGATCTCTAAACTCACCATACGAAACACAGCAATATTAAGCTGCTATTTTACGCTGGTATTCTGTGAGAACGTGGTCCTTCCCCGGTCGAGTCGACCCATTCGTAATACAACCATAATATAGCTGAAGTGTTGCTCTACCAGGTATAGATGTTTAATTTCACCCTTATTCCCTTTCATTCCGCATACTTATTGACCTCCCCTCGTAAAATTGCATGTATTGTTGTTTTCCGGTCTGATATTTTTTGTTGAATTATGGCAAAGTCAAGCCATACTAATGCAATAAAGGCACTATTATGACCTGCATTTTATAATAATTTATAATAGTCAATTTTGTTGACACAACTGTATATGACTTTCAATGACAAAATTTATTTTGCAGTGTATAATAACGTCTCAATTCAAAACTTTTTTTTTAGTAGGTCAATAAAGAGTTTTGAGTCTATATATTTAGCACAATTATTTTCCCGATAGTCACTAAGTCAAAATTATTTTACGGCACGTTTATTACCTAATTATACATTTCTTTAGAAAAATGGCACGTTCATACATAAAGGTTTGCCAACCCTGATCTATAGGGTCAATAAATTGTACCCACCGTTGTTTATTCCGTCAACTTCAAGTTTCAGGGGTCCTTTTTATTAAAGTTAATAACGTTATTTATGAAACAAACGTAAAATAAGCAGGTTAATCAATAATATGACGTGATATAACCACTATGGAGTAATCAAAATTGCATACTATATGATTAAGATAGCAGAAAAACACGCACATTTCTTTTCAACGGACAGCCATCTTACAAAAGTCTCTGCTTTAGTGAGCACAGCCAGCACGCTATTCATTTCAAAGTCTGTAATAGCGGATAGTTCTCTGTGGAATCCTAAAGTTTCATCAATAGCATGCGCGAAAGCTCCATCGATGTCGACAATCTCTCCCTTAGCTCCTTGAGTAACGTATAATCCCAAAACTGTGTGAAGTCTCTCCGCCGCCAGTGCTATCAGACCAGCATTGAATTCCTCCTACAAATATAAATACAATAATGAATGCAAAAATTTTCATGTTACTGTTGCGCGGCTAAGTTGACATCTGGCACTAGCGCTATCTAGTGTCGGGTAACCGAGCGAGGAGAGAGCTTTCCAGAAAATGACATCACTAATCTTTCAACCGACAGCGCCATCTGTTGTCGAAACGAATAACTAAGCTTCTAGAAGCTGAGACTCGAACTTTCGACGCTTTGTCGATTGGTGCGCGTATTTGAATGTTCTAGAATGTTCTGGATGTTTCGGTACTAATGTGTATTTATAGGCGCTGCAAAGTGCGATCGGAGAAGTATTGAATTTGGTATAAAGTGAATCAGTGTGCTTAATTATTAGTGATTTAAGTTTTAATTTGTGTAAAGAAAATTAAAGTGTTAATTTAGGTAATTCTATCGGCAATTTTTATTGTCACGAACCTCAAGCTCTTAACAATTGGTGTCAGATATGAGATAAAATCATGCCGATTTTATCTAAGGAGGAAACGGAGGGTGTCCGTAACCGCAGTCAACGCCAGCATGAGACGGACCAGAGGAGATTTGGTGGTGCAACGCCGCAGACGTCGGAGGGCCAACTGCCAGCCATGGAGGCTGCGGGCCCGTCAGTAGCTCCTACATCTGCAGCACCTGACTTAGCAGCTACAGGAGCAGCTGCAGCGCGGACGAGAGGAACAGGCCCGTCTGTTGAAAGAGCAGCAGGAGAAACAGGCTCGCCGGCAGGAGTAACAGGCTCGCCGGCAGGAGTAACAGGCTCGCCGGCAGGAGGAACAGGCTCGCCGACAGGAGGAACAGGCTCGCCGACAGGAGGAACAGGTCCGTCGGTTGGAAGAGCAGCTGCGGGGCGGCCAGGAAGAACAGATGCTTCTCATGAAGGACCTTCACGCTACCTTCGGGAAAGAGATAAGGGAGGTGAAGGATAAGGTTGCTCAACATGATAACCGCCTGTCGGAAGGTGAGACCCAAATCAACCATGTTAAGAAAACGCTGGATGAACTCAAACTTAGGGATGGAACTACAGCTCCCGTAGTAGCTACTACACCTTCGCTACGTGGGTTCAAGGTGCCACCGCTCGACGGGACTTCTTCCTGGTCAGCCTACAAAATCCAGTTCGAGGCTGTTATGAAGGCGAACGGCTGGAATAAAAGTCAGGCCATGACTGCTCTCACACTAGGCCTGCGCGACCAGGCCTTAACAGTTCTGGAAGCTCTCGGTGAGGAAGTGACTTATGAGCAACTCCTTGAGGCATTGGAGGCGAGATATGGCGACGCTCACCTGGAACACGTCTTTCGTGCGCAGCTTAAAGATCGCGTGCAGCGCATCAACGAAAACCTGCAGCAGTGGGCTCTAGAGGCGGAGAAGCTGGTGAGAAAAGCATACCGGTCTGTACCTGCGCTCATTGAAGGGAACCTAGTGCAGACATTCATCGACGGCATTCGCGACCTGGAAGTCAGAGCTGCTGTGAGGCTCGGGCACCACGAGACGCTTAAGGACGCCTTGGCCCATGCTAGCGCATGCAAACCGATAATCAATAACCGATAATTTATCGGTAATCAGTTCATTTTTTTCACCGATAATTATCGAAAAATTTCTTAAAAATATCGATAAACGATAATTTCATAAAGGTTTTATGCAATCATTTCCATCACTACCGCGAGTTATTTTTTGGAATTCGCGCTGCGTGCAGTGGCATTCCACTAGCCCGTGTCTATAGCTCTCTTGCTCACTCATTTCATGACCAACACAAGTGCGCAGTCGCGTGCAGGACAGAACGCGCCATTAAGCGCGGCGTGGGAAGTTTGTTCAGTGTGATCCAGTGTGGTGTGATGTTTGGTTGGTTGCGTTGTGTTCTGTTGAGCGTGCTTCGCTTTTTTGTCGACACGACGCTAAAGGATTTACAGTAGGTAAGTAAAATAATCTAGATAGATAGATTTTAAGTAGATTTTTTATATTATGTACTTGTTTGACGTTCGCTTTATAAGCCCACTTCATATTCATACATCTTCTTTACTTCATAGCCCACAGTGGTCAGTCATATAAGTAGGTAATTTTATATAATATTTTAACTTTAGGTAGGCACACGTTATTTAAATGTTACGTAGTGTGTTTAAAAGTTTATTTACTTACACAATACTTAAATATCATTCGCAGTATTACCAAATTACCGTATTTTTATCGAGATCACGTCTCAGTGTGTCTCAGTCTACCAGTGTTGCCCGTAGCTTCGAATTTCGAATCATAATATTATTAGTAGTGTGAATATTAAAAATATATTTTGTTTTAGGTACTTACTACTTACTGCAACGAGTGAATTAATCAATAATGTCAAATAAAATAAACTACATTCCTGTATACAAAAAAAGTTCCGATCCAACGTCGGTTTGGTATCAGAAGACTAAAGGCCGATACGGGTGATTCTGCAAAATGTAAAACATGTGAAAAAGTTATTAAGTGTGCGGGTGGTACTACAACAGGACTACGCAGCCATTTAAGATTACATAATGTTTCACTTGACAGCGAAAGGCTTGCTTCAGAAGTAGCTAGGGAAACTGCTGGGACTTCCAAAAGAAAAAATGATAACTCTTTATTGGAGTCACCAGTTTCAGCGAAAAATTGCAGAATGACCGACTACTTCTCACAATCAAACAGATCATTGGATGTTATGGTATCAAGAATGACAGCACTTGACGGTATGCCATACAGGGCATTTACAGAATCTGAAGACCTGAAGCATCTATTTAAAAAAGCTGGTTATAAATTACCTACGAGCGCAAATACTATAAAAGATGTGACTATAAAGTTTTATGATAAGACTAAGAAAAACCTTATAAAGGAAATACAGGAACTAAAGGATGAAGGACACAAATTTTCGGTTTCAATAGATGAATGGACATCTTCAAGAAATAGGCGATATATGAATGTGAATCTTCACTGTGCATTTTTCAAAGGTAACCACCACACGACGAGAAATCTTGGTTTATGTAGGACGTATGGCTCTGTTACCGCTATCAAGTGTGAAGAATACCTGCGAGAAAGGCTACACGAATTTAAATTAGATTTTGACACTGATGTGATCGCCATTATATCTGATGGAGCTTCTGTTATGACAAAACTAGGAGGAAATTTAAACTGCATACATCAGTTATGCTTAGCTCATGGCTTGCAATTGGCCATCGTGGATACGTTCTACGTAAAAAATCAAGAAAACGTAAATGAGGCTCAAGAAGAACTTGCCGAAAACGAAAATAATCTGAACACTGTTTGCATTGGCACTGAAGATGATACTGAGACTGGTGGATTTCAAATAGAGCAAGCTCCAACTGTAACAGTTGACGTGGAGACAAATATTAAGTTTGGGCTTGTTGTAGAAAAGGTGAGGAATATTGTGCGGATGTTCAGAAAGTCACCAACGAAATCCGATATTCTTCAAAATTACATAAAAATGGAGCTTGGTAAAGAATACGCACTGATATTAGACTGCAAGACGCGCTGGAGTACTCTTTGCAATATGATTGGTAGGTTTATTAAAGTGAAAAGAGCAGTCTTAAAAGCACTCATTGATGTAAAATGTGATATCCAGATTAATGAAGTGGAGTGGTCCATTCTCGAAGACATTTATGAGAATCTCGATGTAATGAAAGTTACTGTTGAAGCTGTTTGTCGCGAAGATGCTACTCTGCTTAGTGCTGATGCTGCCATGATTTTTGCACTTAAAAAACTTGAAACTCGTAACACGTTGCTTAGTAAGGAGCTTCATGCAAGTCTGAGCAAAAGGATCAAACAAAGGCGGCTACCAGTTGCAAGTCTAATGCAATACCTTCACAACCCAGCAACATATTTTGAAGAAAATGAATATGACGCAGATGTTTATCCGCGCTTGCCTAACGATTGTCTGCAAGAGATGGTATTGGGGCTTCTAAAATACGATTCGGCCGCACAATCTTTTACTTGCAACGATGTCAATGACTTACCTACTGATGATTCGCAGAATGAAGTCGGCAGCAATTCCTCATTATCAAATAAAGAATTAATTAACCAACAAATCAGCAAAATTATCTTTGATGACACGAGAAGAGTTGGAATTGGAAATCTTTCAACGTCTAAAGAAGACTTATTGACACTACTAAAGGTTGAAATGCTGTTATTTGAAAATGGAGGTGATCGAGGCCAATTGCTGTCAAAAGCTTATCGATGGATTCGTTCAATTAAGCCAACAAGTGTAGAGAGTGAACGCGCTTTTTCTGCGGCTGGAATATTATGTAATAAACTGCGCACAAGCCTTAGCGACAAAACTATAAATTGCTTGTCGTTTCTTCGCACTTATTTCCAACAACAAAAAAATTGTAAATAGATTATGTATGTTAATAATATACCTACAAATTATTCTAAATTAAACGACTGATTTAAATGTTACAATAATTGATTCCTAATGAAACCAAAAAATGTTAAGTAATAGGTTAATATTAATATTTTATTTTATTGTTTATATATTTTTTGTTTTTGTTTGTGAGAAAAAGATAGTAGTATAGCTAGTGCTATTATGATTAAGACTTGTTTTTTCTATATTGATTTTTAGTTTTATGGAAATAAAACCATATTTTTAATTAAATAACGTATTTCATTGAATTATAAAAACAATAAATTTTCTTGTAGAGATTAGAATGCACAAAGAAAGCAATTTTAAGAGACAGGTATTTTTTTTAATGTAAATCGGTAATTCTCGGTTTTTATCGAAAAAAAAACCCGATAAAAATTGAATTATCGATTATCGAAAAGTTCCGATAATTGCATGCTCTAGCCCATGCACTGGTCACTCTCGTTTGTTCATCCTTGCTGGGGTCCCAGTCGATAGATATTTGCACTGACACAACCAATCCACTTCCTCACAAGTACCAATCAGTGTGCCTTTTTCTATAATCTGTTCCTGGTCATACACGTACTCCTGAGATGTTAGTGGTTCTGACCAAGGTTCGAGCCACTTTCCATGGAAGGTCATTGTCTAACCTTTACACGAGTACACAACGATGAGGTTTCCCAGGATTCCGAGGAAGACTGACTGGCACAATCGTTTCCGATCTCGGCGGAAGAACAAGCTTCTTGAGGCTGTACACGTTCCCTGGTAACGCCCCTTCCACGAAAAGTTCCTCTTGTCCACATTTCAAAACCCCTTGCTTAACGTCAATCTCACAACAATTCTTCCTCATGAAGTCTAGGCCCAGGATGCAGTCGTCCATTATATCAGCCACGATGACATTATGCAGGTAAATCATGTTGCCTAACTTCAACTCCATCTCCGTCTCTACACGGACGGGTATTAGCTGACCGATGGCTGTTACCAAATTAATGCGTCCTCGGTTGTATGCGGAGTCTGCGGAAAAAACTGACTTATAAGTCGGGAACTAACAACCGTACGAGAGGCTCCAGTGTCTTTGGTCAGTTTACACGGCATTCCGTTGACCTCGCCCTTGATTATTAGACTGTTCCCATCATGAGTTTGTGAGATCGAAATCCTTGGGGCTCTTTTAACATCAACCAGCACCCGCCCCGCAGTTCTGGCTTTTACTCGTTTCCCTGCTGCTGCTGGGCAGTGCTGTTGGCCGCACTACCCTCCCGAGATCGTTCACCTTCCCTTTCTACGGTTCGTTTAGGGCAGCTGGATCGAAGATTGCCCCTTTCCCCACAGCCATAGCACCTAGGGCTGTATCCTTTATTGCGGTCGCAAACCGTAGCTGCTACAACCTCCCTGACGCGATGGGAGCGAAGATTCTGCCGCACGGCTTCCATCTCCAGCGCATGGGCCAAGGCGTCCTTAAGCGTCTCGTGGTGCCCGAGCCTCACAGTAGCTCTGACTTCAAGGTTGCGGAAGCCATCGATGAATGTCTGCACCAGGTTCCCTTCAATAAGTGCAGATACAGACCGGTATGCTTTTCGCACCAGCTTCTCCACCTCAAGAGCCCACTGTTGCAGGGTTTCGTTGATGCGTTGCACGCGATCTTTAAGCTGCGCACGAAAGACGTGTTCCAGGTGAGCGTCGCCATATCTTGCCTCCAATGCCTCAAGGAGCTGCTCATAAGTCACATTCTATAATAAAACAACGTGACTCAGCGAGTACAAGAATGAACAGAACTATATTTTTTAAAAGACAAAAGTAAAGAATCACATAGACAACATTTGTTCACACTTTGGTAGGAGATGTCGCTAATAGTAGGTACATAATCTATATTTTGCTATTTATAATACTTACTCACCGAGAGCTTCCAGAACAGTTAAGGCCTGGTCGCGCAGGCCTAGTGTGAGAGCAGTCATGGCCTGACTTTTATTCCAGCCGTTCGCCTTCATAACAGCTTCAAACTGGACTTTGTAAGCTGACAAGGAAGAAGTCCCGTCGAACGGTGGCACTTTGAATCCACATAGCGAAGGTGTTGTAGCTACTGCGAGGGCTGCAATTCCATCTCCAAGTTTGAGTTCATCCAGCGTTTTCTTAACTTGGTTGATTATGGTCTCAACTTCCGACAGGCGGTTATCATGTTGAGCAACCTTATCCTTCACCTCCCTTATCTTTCCCGAAGGTAGCATGAAAGTCCTTCATGAGAAGCATCTGCTCTTCACTATCGCGTTTGAGCGAGGTATCTTTATACGTGGTAGAGCCATGCTGCAGTTATATTAGTAGTATAGTTGTAGCACGAATGGGTCGGCTCGACCGTGGAAGGACCACGCTCTCACAGAATACCAGCGTGAAATAGTAGCTTAATGCTGCTGTATTTCGTATGGTGAGTGTAGAGAACCGGAGACCCTTTTTACTGGAAACGAGGCATTCCATCTCAGTCCATAACGCATCTGCATTTTGATTTTTAATGGAGGATAGATGTAGATGTCTATGGGCCGCAGCAACCACTTACCATCAGGTGGACTGAGTGCTCGTTTGTTACCCTATTCTATAAAAAAAAGCTGCTCTTCTAAGCGACGGGCCTCTTCTTCCTGCTGCTCTTCTAAGCGACGGGCCTGTTCTTCCTCCTGCTTTTTCGACTGACGGGCCTATTCCTCCTGTCGGCGGGCCTGTTCCTCCTGCTGCTCTTTCAACTGACGGTACTGTTCCTCCTGTCCGCGCTTCAGCTGCTCTTCCAACCGACGGGCCTGTTCCTCCTGTCGGCGGACCTGCTCCTGCAGCATCACCATCAGAGCACCTAAGTCAGGTGCTGCAGATGCAGGAGCTACTGACGGGCCGACCTCCGTGGCCTGCGGCTGGCCCTCCGACGTCTGCGGCGTTGCACCACCAAATCTTCTCTGGTCCAAAACCCTCCTCGGTCTGGTCCCCGACACTAGATAGCGCTAGTGCCAGGTACCTGACGTCTTCTTAGGCGCGCAACAATATTATGGCCTAGATTCCAATTTGACATTGTAAAGCTTGAATTTAAAGTCAAGCTTAATTGTCATTTAATACAGGCCTCAGCGTCTAAACGTTGTTATCGAGACATAAGATAAGTGATACGTGTGATACGTTAGTGTTTGTTAATGTACACATAATTTTGAAAGTGAGCCTTCACTACATACTTCCATCAAGTATGATCTTGAGCCACCAAATTTTGTGATGCAAATGCACGTCACAAATGATATAAAATACTGCAATGATATAAAATAATTATTAACTCACAATCTAAGAGGAAGACGAAGAATGAAAACATGAGTTTTTACTAAATCACCAATCTTGTTACACCACTTATAGTAGAGCCATGCTGCAGTTATATTAGACGTATAGTTGTAGCACGAATGGGTCGGCTCGACCGGGGAGGGACCACGCTCTCACAGAATGCCAGCGTAAAATAGTAGCTTAATGCTGCTGTGTTTCGTATGATGAGTGTATAGAACCGGAGATTATTTTTACAGGAAAGGAGGCATTCCATCTTAGTCCTCACGGGTGACAACGCATCTGCATTTTGATTTGTAATCGAGGATAGATGTAGATGTCTATGGGCCGCAGCAACCACTTACCATCAGGTGGACTGTGTGCTCGTTTGTGGACGTGGTTCAATTTGTGCTGTATATGGTTGCAACAATTATAAACAACAAAAAGACCCAAAATCATTCTTTAGAATGCCCAAAGTTTTGGAGAAGATAGTTGTATGTGATTTTGTTAAACAAATGTGATAGAAGGCTTGTAATATTTCGTTTGTTGTACTTATTAATAAATTTCCTTTTAGATTGAAGCAATGGATTGTGGCTTGTAAAAGAACTGACCTGGACAATTTGATGATAATTAAAGATGCTGATTATTTTTCCAACAATTATGTTGTTTGTTCAGATCATTTTGATGTAGAATGTTTTCGAAATAAAGATTTATATAGCCAGGGGTAAGTTGTCAATATTTAGATAGTATAATATTTATGTAATGAGTGTGTTTTTTCCATACTAATATGTGCAGATGTACCAATAAAAAGTATCATTTTTTAGGTTAATGCCAGGTTCAGTACCAACTTTGAAGTTGTATAATAAGAAAAATACAATGAAGAGAAGATGTCTATGTGAAATAAATTTAGACTGTTCATAAGGTATAACTTTCTGTCTTACATACCTAAATTTTAACATTTTCATTATTATGTTTGTAAGGATTTAGTAAGAAACTACTTATTATGTGTGCCTTATTGTTGCAGTTCTAAACGGATCAAATTAAACTCGGTAGATACGATAATGGAAACCCAAGACCAACATGAAAACTAAATTTACATCATACATCTTGCCATAGATAATAAAAAAAAAAAGAAAAAAAAAGTTAGCTGTGTGTAAAAATAAGTGAATTTCTTTTGCAAAGAGAGCAAATCAAGAATAAAAACATAGGTGTTACTGTCTCAAAAACAAAGTTTTAACCTAACACAATTATCCTGTGAGTATTTCTGAAAAGAATGTTTTCGGTAGGGTATGTAGTTCATAGCCACATGATAAATGTAAAAAAATAGTATGTAGCATAGATAATGATTATAGTTTAGAAAATACACAAATAGAGAATGCCAAGAGAGTTTCACATATTATCAACAAAATTTTCAAAGAAAATAAAGACAATTATTAAAAAAATTCTGTAAACAATGTTAAAAGTAGATTAATTTCAAATGAATAGGTATTCACAAATAAATATTTCTAAATGTGATGAATGTATAAGATTATTTTTAGACAAGTATTTCAACGTTCTGCTAAAAGCATATGTAAATAAGTTTAATGAGACGCGCACAAGTAGATTGAAGTCTAGAAACTTGAAAATTAAAATTTCAGATTCCCAATGTATTTAGTTTTATTTTAAACCCCCAAGAAATCTTCAAAAACTATTATCTACGTTTTGTTTCTAGTACAGTGTAAAATTGTACAACATTTTCAAATTCTGTTAAAAAACTCGTACAAACAACGAGTTTTGCATAGTTCGTAACTTTTTCATCAACTCATGTCACTAGATGGCGCTATTTTGACAGTTCCCATTCCAATGTATGGAAATTGTCGAGAACTGCACGTATTAAACCGTAAGGTTTTATAAAGTATTTGATCACATTAAAAACAGAATAGTGTGCTATCTTCTAAGAAATGTACCGAAGGCCGCTAATATGTGTGCGTGCCCGTCACGTGCCAGTACGGACTCGTACGCACGAGCGACAGCACGCACACAATGACACTTGCTAAGTCGGAAAGATCGGGCCGAATCGTGGACGCCCACCGCCTCGCTCGGCAATCACCTTTGAGACTTTGTAGAATTTTAATAAAATTTTGCTAGCAGTCTTTTTTCGCTTTATTTTCTCTTTTTGTAAAATAAATTAATATATTCTTTTATTTAAGTAAATTAGCTTTTTATTAATAATGATTTCTTATATTTACGCGAACACTACACATTGAAATAATACTAGTTTTTACGGAATTATACTTCAAGACGCCCGAAGAAGATTGGTCAGTTTTTACCATCAGTCAAGTGTAATGTCCCTCTGCAAGATGCAGGAGTGTACAAGCTTGATTGTGAATGTGGTCTCTCCTACATAGGACAAACTAAAAGATCAATAAAAACCCGCGTTAAAGAACATATAGCTGATGTGAAGAATCGACGCTCCGGGAAGTCTGCAGTCTGTGAACACGTACAGGATCGCCCCCGTCACTACATCAGATTTGATAGACCGCAAATCCTCGCTAAAGAACACCGATTCCTTCCAAGGATGATTCGCGAGGCTATTGAAATCAAAAAACATCCTAATTTCAATAGAGAAGATGGCTGGGTGCTACCATCTGCTTGGGATCCTATAATAAATAAAATTAAATCCCAACCCAAGCATACAACTGCAAGACTTCAAGATACCATAAGTTCATACTGCATAGATCGGAACAAAAGTTAAATTTTAATCTATGGTAACCGCGGTTAACTATGACATATGGACTTTGAACATCTCAGTCCTGCCCGTGACCATGAGTGCTGTAAAGCGTTCGAAACGTCGGGTAATTAAAAAGTTAAATACACGCGATAAATTCCGTAAAAACTAGTAATTACTTTTTATTAATAGTTTATATTATTATATCCATACATAGATACATTAATTGTCACATCACATCAGATCAAATTAATTTTAAAAATAAAATGTGAGTTGACACCAATATGCTCAATGTTAATTTACTCATATTTTAGTTATTTGGCATTTGTTGTAATGGAAAGCTGGAATTTTTTTTTTGACAAACATCGATTCTATGAGAGGAAACTAAAGAAATTATTAACAAAAATATGATGCATAAGTAAGTATCCGTATGTATTAATTTTGTAAATATTATAATTACTTGATAAAACTAAATGAGATTTAGCTGTAACAAAAAGACAGTAACAACCTTGCAACAGTAGGCATTTAAGTCTCGCGCGGCGTGGGTGTAATCCTACTATTCTGTTTTTACTATGACTTGTAAATGTATTCTTATTGGAAGTTTAAAGCACAAAACACTCACCACAGCGTTAACACTCTTCATTTCAAGTTTATCAGCAACTGGTTGCACATAGTTCTTGACAAATGTTTGATGGTCTCTTATCCAAGTGAGTGTTTGTGTTAAAAACCATTCTGGTCTATCTATGCGCGCCGTCTGACGTGCACCCGTGAAGTGGAATGCAAATCTCTTTTTTAAAGGTCGAAGTAAAATTCTCACAGGTAAACACGGATTGGGTTCTGTGGATGTAATATATACAGATAAACTTAATCACAAAAGTACGAACAAGCAGTAATCCATGATAAAAAAATAGATTTTAAGTGATCTAAGATAAGTTGTGAATAGGATACTTTTAATTTATAAGTAATATAATATCGCTGGATCCTGAATTCAGAATTCAGTACTCCCATATCATCCCGTGGATGTCGTAAAAGGCAACAGAGACCAATGAAACTGAAGTGGAACATCTTCCCGGTCCAATCATCGTGCCAAGCATGGGAGCTATATCATATAAAAAAAAAAAAATTATATATATATATATATATATACTTATAAATAGAAAACAATAATCTTAAATCAAGATAAATAATAAAATACTTATTGAAAGTATTTTTTTATGTACTTAGTATTAATAGACCGGACATCAGCAACAAAATTGTCATCTATAACTTTTGACCTATAGGATATATCTTCGATTTTTGTCTTTTAGTCTTAGTGTACTACACAACTTTGGATAATGCAACTGTAGTATACAACAAGTATACTACAGTTGCATTACCCAAAGTTTTTATGCCGTGCGGGCGTTTTCCTAATAAATATTCAACGTAGTATTGCTATGTTTCGCTAGAGGGCGTAGCACACGCGCGAGCTCACAGTTTTTGTATGTAAATGTTACCAATATCGGCTCTATAGCATATATGTTTAAATCTCTTTGGTCCTGGGATATATAATTTTACAATACATTATTATATGATGATGTACTATGAGGAAGGCCTATATTTAACATTGGACATTTGATAGGCTATAATGATTGAATGAATAAGTGTAAATAATATTGCTATGCATAGAAGGATATCCAGGATTTTTACTATACTTGTTGTATTACACTTGTTTGATTTTTTGCACAATCTAGCAATACAATTGAAGTTACTTAACAATATAAAGCAAAAGCATTCAGTGGGGCGTGTAAGTGGAGCAAAATTCATCCCAAGAAAAACTGGAATGTTTTCTTTCTCTCACTTGGATTGCAAATAAATGATGTCATTTGATTTGATTTGTCATGAATGTTGTACATATACCACCCCATTGATGCATGGACACACCAGGCATATAGTCTAATCAGTACAATAAAAAATTATGCAAGAAAATAAAATTACCTATATTGAACTCATCTGAAATAGCGCTGGACATTAAGTCTTCTGGTTCTTGTATTAGGAACAGGTATCTGGTCATGTTAGTAAATTTTGTTAGCAATTCTTTTGGTGGTAAAGAATTTTCAGATGAAGAAGTAAAAGGCCATTTAAGTAATTTTAAAACATCTTCATAATGCCTAAAACAATAGTAACAATAGACATTTATTAGGTTATTTGTGATAAGGACACTTAGTGGCTAAGGGGAGTGCATAAATTTCATAGTATATGAAAACTATGTGTTAAATAAATCCAAGCATCATTTCTTAGGAAGTGGTAATTTACCACATGCTTAGGAAATGCGTCTAAAAAGTTTATGTGGTAGAGCCATGCAGCAGTTATATTAGTAGTATAGTTGTGGAACAAATGCGTCGGCTCGACCGGGGAAGGACCACGCTCTCACAGAATACCAGCGTGAAATAGTAGCTTAATGCTGCTGTGTTTCATATGGTGAGTGTAGAGAACTGGAGACCCTTTTTACTGGGAAAGACGTATTCCATCTTAGTCCTCACGGGTGACAAAGCATCTGCATTTTAATTCGTAATCGAGGATAGATGTAGATGTCCATGGGCCACAGTAACCACTTACCTTCAGGTGGACTGTGTGCTCGTTTGTCACCTTGTCTTATAAAAAAAAGAGCTCCATGTCCAGCAGCAAGGCACATATAGGCTGTTACTTTGGTTTTGAGAATCTTTTCTTTTTATTTAAAAAGTGTTACACACAACACTGGGAAATTTTCTTGTATCATATTTGGTGTTTTACATAAATTAATAAGACAAACACCCAGACCTGGAAAATTACTAGTAGGCCATCCAGATCCTTGTTCTGTGTTTAATTAGAATCTGTGGCACCCACTGCCAAAACCAAATGTTTAGTCAGATGCTAGCAAACCATGAAAAGTATATCAGATTGAGAGATAGAGGTAATCTGATTAATAAAAATATCAATTAATTTGCAACCTTCCGCTAACTAAATACAATGATGTGTCTGACCTGGATTGCAGAGCAAAAATTAGCGGTCAGCCGCCGTAGAGTCTACATCACCTCTACAGGATGCCTCGTATAGAGGCGAAACACGTGTCGTATTATCGTCGATGGTGTGTCTTACCTGGAATAGTGGTGTTGGAAGTAGTGACGCCGGGAGTAGTGGTGTTGGGAGTAGTGGTGCTGGGAGTAGTGGTGCTGGGACCAGTGGGTGACGGAATTAGTGCACGCAATTGAGGTGCATTACGCAGAACATGATATTTTTATTATTTAATATTTGATATGTAATCTGTCAGATTACAAGATATTCTTCTTCAAAAAGTAACGTACTACCAAGGGGCTATGGCAGTACTCTATAGTCTGACAAATTCGATAATCCGACACTGCCTTGCAAAATGTTTGTCGGATTACCGCGGGTCAACTGTATATGGAAAATAATTGAATGTAGATTATGACTCTTATTCTTATTAAACCTTACTGCTCTGCTACTGCTTGATAGGGTTATTCCGTTTATCCACCGTAAGAAATCAATCCTAGGGTGGATACTCGAAAATGCATGTTTGTTTATCAACACACACACAGTTCAATTGCGACGCCTAAGCGAGCACCACATATTATAATATTTCCTCTCAGTTTAGTCTGTGTTTTTGCCCACAGAAGTGTACTTTTACTATTATAGATTTCTAAAGTGGACATTGCTACTGTCATAATAAATTGAATAGTGTTATATTAACTGTGAGCTATAATACATAAACATTGCTAAAATTTCTGTTAGTGTTTAAGCGCTTGTTTATTTGTGCGACCGCTGTGTGTCATTGAGGAGGTCAAGGAACACTGTCACGGATATTGGACTCTCGGGCAGAACGTAAGGGTTTGTTTCCAGTGCAATTTTTGCAAGTTAATCAAAATGGCTTTGGTGTATGCTTGCTGTCGTGTTGCTGTAGCAAATACTGGAGAGTACATGAACTGCGTGATCTTGGTGTTCAGTTGGATAGTAAGTTGTTATTGAGATCACATATTAATATCATAACTCAAAGAGCTTATAAAATGCTAGATTTTATTATGTGTATCTCAAAAGATTTTAAAAACTCTACAACAATAAATATACTATTTAATACTCTGGTGTGATCTATTCTTGAATATTGTTCTTCATGTTGGAATCCTCAATACAAAGTTTATGTTAAAATGATTGAAACAATCAATAATAAGTTTCTGTGTCACTTAAAGCGATATAATTCTTCTATAGACTCCATTATTGATAGCTTACACTGTTATACACTCGAAAAACACTGTGATATAAGAGATCAAATGTTGTTGTACAAATTGCTACGTAATATCATCGACTCTCCCCTACTTTTAAGCAAAGTGAATCTTGCGTGTCACTGGTTAGGCACGCACGAATTAAGTGCACGAAATAAGCCTCTTTTTGCATTACGTAAAGTAAAAACGAAGTATGCTTCAAATAATTTTGTATCTTGTACATGTAAAAATTTTAATTTAAAATATTGTGAACTAGATATTTTTCACCTTAAATATAATAGTTATAAAAAAAATTTTAAAACTTAATTTATAATTGGTAGCTTCACTATAGGTTGTGTGTATTGTATTACTTTTAACTGCTTAGTACTTAATGTTTAATTATAAATACCATTTGGTTTTTTTTTTTAATCTTTAAACATATTGTGGTTGCAAGCTTTTAATATTTGTATTAGATATCTGTGGAAACTTCATTGGTTTTAGGATTACTTTTATGTTTTATAATGTATTTTTTTATTGTACTGTATGTTTCCCTTAAAAGCAAATAAATAAATAAATAAAAAAACACTAGATGGGGTGGATAATTGGAATTCATTTTAACTAACCCTAAAACGAACACCCTAGGGTGGATTTCTCAGGGTGGATAAACAAAATAACTCGTTTATATCTTCTTTCCTTAAACTAAAAAAAAATTTCTCTTGTGTTATAATTTGCTAATAATATATTTGTAGATATTGCCTAAAAGCATTTTACTGATTATGCTAGACACAACTTACTTGGTGAGACTATCCTTCAAAACATTATGCCAATAGTGTGTATATTCTTTCAAGTAAGCAGCTTGATGTCCTTTACTATACTGACTGCACATAACTTTTAACTCTCCGTAAAGTTGAACTAATTGCTCATCATCAGTACATTGCTTCATCTGGGAACTATAGTATTAGCAAAAAAGAAATAAAAAGTTAAACTTTAATATTAAACACACCTTAAAAGTATATTTAATTTCTTATATAATATAGATGTAATCATCATTACAGCCATTCACAAGTCCACTGCTGAACATAGTCCTCCCCTAAGGAATGCCACAAAGCACTCGACTTCCTGCATGTCTTACCAGGTTATCACTTCATCTAGTGGGAGGGGTCACCCTACACTTCGCCTACCCGTACGAGGCTGCCACTCGAGAACCTATTTTCCTCAACGGTTGTCAGTTCTTCGAGCTATATGGCCGGCCCATTGCCACTCCAGCTTACTAATCTGTTGGGTTATGTCGGTCACTTTGGTTCTACTACGAATATCCTCATTTCGAAGTTTATCATGCAGAAAAACCCCGAGCATAGCCCTCTCCATACTAAGCAACTTTGAGCGTCCTCATACGGCCTGACGTGAAGGACCATGTTTCAGTTCCATAGGTCATCACTGGTAACATGCACTGGTTGAATAAAACTAAATTTACGCACTGGTTGTACAGATGTTAACATTAATGAAACATAATAAATACATGATACCTCAATTCATCAATTTTTTCAAAGGACTTCAAGTATAGTAACACTCCTTCTAGCTTGCTGATAGCAGAAAATCGTTTATCAAGTTCTGTTCTCAAGGGTTTGGTTCTACTTAGAAAATCTTCAACTTTCAACTTTAGCTGTTCACTTTTAATTTTGAGATTTTGAATTTGTTTTGAATTATGTTCCGCCTTTTTAAGGGTTGATGACAGTTTCGTTGGGACTTCGTCATTTGCTACATTTAACTGTAAGCAATATCAAAGAGTAATATTAAGTAATATTAGAACATTATAGATTTAGAATTTGAAATAGCAGTACATGTAACAGTAGTATAGTATTTATTATACATCTGATATACACGTACACAGCTTTGAAGATATTTCTTTTTGCGGAATAACTCTGCTTCAACATCAATTGCATCTGCTAAATTATTTATATCACTCCCAATCTTAATATTAAGATTGTTGATAATATCGATTTTATCTTCATCTGTTAATTTGGACTTCATAATATTATGTTTTTATTGAAGCGGTAGGAAATACAATTTCAATAAAATAGCTTCACAGTGTATATAAATAAAACATTATAACAGTTTCAGTTTATAAAAAGGTACTCTATGCATTATAAAATTCGTAGACAGAGAACATAGATAAATAAATACGTATCAAGCTAACAGAGAAATAAAATTCAACTATAAAAAAAGTCAACGTCAAAATTCTTTAAAGTTTTAAATTATCTATAGGCAGAGGGATCCACGCCCACACAGCCTTATATGACGTGTGTTATAAAGCGACATTCATAAAAAGTTTTTATCCCTTTTCTATCGTGCAGTACTAAATTGTACCTCTCTGTTATATAGATGTTATCTTTGATTGCACCGTAAACTTTCCCGCCAGATATCACGATAATTTATATTATTTATTTTTATTATTTACTGTTTATTATTTCTGTTTTTTATTTCTGTATGTGTATTTACTTTAATTATTTCTGTTTTTTATTATTATTTACTGTTTTACACTAAATTTGAAAAGAAGCTCTCTAATTGGCTCAATCAACTGTACTAAAAAGGATCATCAGCGTTACCGCAACAAGTGTTTATACACGTGAAAATTCATTAAAAAAATAGCGAATCAGTAAATGGGCACAATTTATTATTGTCAGTACACCGAAGAAAGTAATTTGTGTTTTTTTATGGGATAGGGTGACAAATGACACACAGTCCACCTGATGTTAAGTGGTTGCTGCAGCCCATAGACGTCTACATCTATCCTCGATTACAAATCAAAATACAGATGCGTTGTCACCCTTGAGGACTAAGATGGAATGCCTCGTTTCCAGTAAAAAGGGTCTCCAGTTCTCTACACTCACCTCAATACGAAATACAGCAGCATTAAGCTACTATTTGACGCTGGTATTCTGTGAGAGCGTCGTCCTTCCCCGGTCGAATCGACCCATTCGTGCTACAACTATACTACTGATATAACTGCAGCATGGCTCTACCACGTATATGTTATTGTTGCGCGCTATAATTAGCGCCTGATATGTGGCGGCTGATTGATTACCGTCATCTAATATCAAGCAGCAGAAATTACCGTCATCTAATATCAAGCAGCAGAAATTACCGTCATCTAATATCAAGCAGCAGAAATAGGAGCGTCAAGATATTTCTATAACTCTGCCACTAGCGCCATCTAGTATCGAATGGACGAACTAAGCTTTCTAGAAAGCTCCACACTCGAACTTTTTGTACCTGGTCGGTAGGGTGCTGGTTAAGGGCCTCGAACGGGGCTGAAGACTTAGGAGTGAAATAAAGTAAACTAAAGCGTTAAGTGTGATTAATATTAGTGTGATTTAAGTTTTAATTGGTGTCCAGTAATTAAAGTGTCAATTTTGGTAAATCAATCGGCAGTTTTTACTGTAACGAACCTTAAGCTCGTAACAATTGGTGTCAAAGTGTGATAAAATCATGCCGATTTTACCGAAGGACGACACGGAAGGTACCCGTACCCAAAGTCAACGCCAGCAGGAGACGGACCAGAGACGATTTGGTGGTGTGACGTCAGAGGGTCAGCCGCCGGCCACGGGGGCCGGCCCGTCAGTAGCTCCTACATCTGCAACACCTGACTTAGGTGCTCTGATGGTGATGCTGAAGGAGCAGGCTCGCCAACAGGAGGAACAGGCCCGTTGGTTGAAAGAGCAGCAGGAGGAACAGGCCCGCCGACAGGAGAAACAGGCCCGCCGATAGAAGGAACAGGTCGTCGCTTAGAAGAGCAGTCAGCGCGGACAGAGAAACTCCAATAGCTGTACAGGAACAGGCCTGTCGGTTGGAAGAGCAGATGCTCCTCATGAAGGACCTTCACGCTACCTTTGGGAAAGAGATAAGGGAGGTGAAGGATAGGGTTGCTCAACATGACAACTGCCTGTCGGAAGCTGAAACCCGAATCGAGGAAGCTGAAACCTGAATCAAACATGTGAACAATCGGGTTGACAACGTAATGGCTGACGTGAGGAAAACGCTGAACTACCTCAAACTTGGGGATGGAATTACAGCTCCCGTAGTAGCTACAACACCTTCGCTACGTCGATTCAAAGAGCCGCCGTTTGACGGGACTTCTTGCTGGTCGGCCTACAAAATTCAGTTCGAGGCCGTCATGGAGACGAACGGCTGGAATAAAGTCAGGCCATGACTGAACACACCCTAGGCCTGCGCGACTAAGCCTTAACTGTTTTGGAAGCTCCCGGTAAGAAAGTGACTTACGAGCAGCTCCTGCAGGTATTGGAGGCTAGATATGGCGACGCTTACCTGGAACACGTGTTTTGTGCGCAGCCTAAAGATCGCGTGCAAAGCAGCAACGAAAACCTGCAGCAATGGGCCCTTGAGGTGGAGAAGATGGTTCGAAAAGCATATCAGTCTGTACTTGCGCTCATAGAAGGGAACCTGGTGCTGACATACATCGACGGCATCCGTGAACTTGAAGTCAGAGGTGCTCTGAGGCTCGGGAACCACGAGGCGCTTAAGGACGCCTTGGCCCATGCACTGGAGGTGCTGGAGGAAGTTGTACGGCAGGATCTTCGTTCTCATCGTGTCAGAGGTTGCGGCAGCTACAGTTTGCAACCGCAATAATGGATACAGTCCTAGGTGCTATGGCTGTGGGGAAAGGGGCCATCTTCGATCCAGTTGCCCTAAGCGAAATGTTGAAAAGGAAGTTGATCGATCTCGAAAGGGTAGTGCTAACGGCACCGCCCAGCAGCGGCAAGATCATCGTTCTCATCATGTTAGGGAGGTTGCAGCACTAAAGTTCGCGACGACAGTAAAAGTTACAGCCAAAGGTACTACGGCTACGGGGAAAGGGGCCATCTTTGACACAGCTGCCCTAAGCAATCTGTAAAAAGGTAAGGTGATCGATCTCGAGAGGGTAGTGCGGCTAACAGTACCGCCCAGCAGCAGGAATACGACTTTACTATCGGACACTGCAGCGGGAAATGGCATGGCAACACAGATGCATTGGCAGGAAGACCTTATCCTGATGATTGCAAGAATAATACCAGCCAAAATGGGAAGAAAGTGGTATCTGTGAAGATTCTCAGGATAGACCACCTCAGCAACGAATGGAAGGACAGCTTACGACATGCACAGCAAGAAGATACGGACAAAGGAAGGAAGCCCAAGTGGAGCGACCTCTCAACGATGAATTCGACTACGAAAAGCTATTGGGCCCAATGGGGCAGCTTGCTGATTCAGGATGGAGTCCTGTGCCGTAAATGGGAAAATGTGAAATTCTACAGCTGTACCATAATGGTTGTTTGTATGTACCACGGGAGAGGACAGCCCTTAACGTTGCGGAGCCATTTCAAAAAGATGCAAGAGGTATTCCTAAGATCGTCCATGTGGATCGACTGGCGCGTTACTATGTGGTCGACAATGCTCGGGACGAGCATGTTTTAGGAGTGGGCAGTGTTGCGCGCTATAATTAGCGTCTGGTTATTGGTGGCTGATTATTAGCGCCACCTGGTATCAAACAGCATAAATAGGAGCGTCAAGATATTTCTAGAACTCTCCCACTAGCGCCATCTAGTATCGAATTGAAGAACTAAGCTTTCTAGAAAGCTCCACACTTGAACTTTCTGCACCTGGTCGGTCGGGGGCCGGTATTTGCTGGATAATTCTGGATGTTTCGGTGGAAAAGGCCTATTTAAAGCCGTTGAGGGCCGCGACCGGGGCAGTATTGAATTGGCGATACAAGTGAAGACTTAGGAGCGAAATAAAGTGAACTAAAGTGTTAAGTGTTATTAATTATTAGGGTGTATTAGTTTTAATTAGTGTTCGGAAAATATAGTGTCAATTTTGGTAATTCAATCGGCAGTGTTTATTGTCACGAACCCTAAGCTCGTAACGTTATGTTAGTTTTGTTCGCAATAATAAAATAAAGTTTACATGGTAAGTATCATACTTTTATGGTTTTATAATTGTCAAATACATTTTAAACCAGTGCATATTTATATCCGTGAGAATGTATTTCAAGTATTTACTAAAGGAATTTAGTAAAAATCAATGGGGACCGGGAAGTACTGTCATTGACTTCTGGTTTATGTAAAACTATTTTAATTTTAGATATAGTCCGATCGATATTTTAAGAAATACTGCTTTGATCAAAGCCTTGCTTTTAGGAGAACTTTCAAATTCGATGCAGGTACCAAGATAGAGGAATTTGATAACGAAAATCCCTCTGATGTGCAACTACCCACATACAGATATTATGATAAAAATCTTAAAGAAGGCATGGTAAAACTTGAGGAAATATCTTTTGCCTGGTCATGAGGAAGAGCCATCAATCAACCATCTGTTTTGACTAAACAATAGCAGACCCATCTACTTCCAATGCCGAAATAGATCTCTTACATATTTCGATATTTTTTTCTTTTGTACCCTTATTGAAGCAATTGAAAACGGAAATAACTTTCAGCTGTGGTACAAAAAGAGCCAATCGTAAAGGACTTTCTAATAACATAACAGGTTTTCAAGTAATTTCCAATTTTCATGGCAGGTTACTGTCATGCACAAAGAAAAAGAACTATCCAAGACTACAATCACCTGCCTCAACAGCTACCAAGGATTACAACAAATTTATTGATGGTGTCGAAATTGCTGATAGATTGTGGGCTCTATACTGTGTTAACAGAAAATCACCAATTAGTGGCACGGAATCTTTAGGGTAACATTAGATATTGACTTTGTCAATCCTTATGTTTTATTTTTGAGAAAACCACGATCAGATCAGTTGCACAAAGCCTAACGACTATTAAATATATTGATGGCAAAAATGGATATCTAGTGGCAATATTTAGAACGCGCAAGTCAGACTATTTAGACACTAAAACTTGTAAGATTGAGAAACAAATCTACAAACTGGCCTACATTTATGAAAAGCAGAGGGCGATGATGTAAAGTATACACTATGGAAAAGATAAAGTTTAAACCATGTACCAAATGGTCCCATTGCAATGTAT